GGTTGAGCCAGTGTTAGAAAAGAGTGAGATGGAGAGATAGAAAACTACACGCACATGTACACATACAGACAGATACACATGCGTACACAGAGTCATATTTCATGCGTTTTTTAGCAGCCGAGAAAGAATTTATAGTAGAAAGAGAGGGAGGCGAGAGAAAGAGAGAGAGAGAAGACGAGAGAGATCGCGAGAGAGCGAGACAGAGAGACAGAGAGACAGAGAGAAGAGAGAGAGAGAGAGAGAGAGAGAGAGAGAGAGAGAGAGAGAGAGAGAGAGAGAGAGAGAGAGAGAGAGAGAGAGAGAGAGAGAGAGAGAGAGAGAGAGAGAGAGAAAGAGAGAGAGAGAGAACCAAAAAGACAGAGCAGAGACACAGCCGCAGAAACACAGCGACAGAGAAATAAGCGAGAAACGAACAGAAAAGGAGAGAACGACTATCCCATCTTTCCCCTCTACGTTATCCAACGATACCTGATTAGCGAATCCATTTAAGCGAAATAGTGAGAGAGGATTAGCGGGGGGTAGCGCAGTGACTGTAATGTGTGTGTGTGCTGTGTTTACCTCCATGATAATAGGTCATGGAGTCACTTGAATGGGTATGTGTATGTGTGTGTTGGGAGGCGAGGGGGGGAGGGGAGGGAAAAAGGAGGGATGGGGGGGAGAGGGATGAGGAGGGGTATAAGGCGAGGATTTTGCGGACAGACAGACACACACACACGCAGCAGACACACGCGGTTGTCATGGACGTCGATACATAGAATAAGGTTTGGTCGGGTGTAATGTTCTCTCGTCTCTTTTGTTTCCATATTTATCCTTTTTTTCTTATTCTTCTTTAGAGGAGGATGAGGGGGTTGTGAAGAGGCGTGTGTTGTCTCCTCATTCCGATCACTTCACCGATCACAATCACTGCCCCTCCGACACCCCCCCCCCTTCCCCGACTATGTAGAAGCATGCGAGAGTTGTGAATATATTATGTTACCGGGACTGTGTCTCTCTTTCTTACACTCACCTCTTCCATTGCGGGTTATAGGGTCGAAGGAAACTGAAGAGGGGGGTGGAAGGGGAGGAAGTAGGGGGGGTAGGGGAAAAGGGGAGGGTAGGGGAAAAAGGGAGAAGTAGGGGAAAAGGAGGAAAAGGGGAAGGGGAGGGGAAAATAAGAGGAAGTTGGGGAAGGGGGAGGGGAAGGGGGGAAGTGAAGAGAAAGAGGGAGGGGAAAAGGGGAGGAAGTGGGGGAAGGGAAAGGGGAAACGGGGTAAGTAGGGGAAGGAGAGGAAGTAGGGGAAAAGGGAGGAAGTAAGGGGAAGAGAAGGAGGGGATCGAGGGTGAGGGGGTCCGAGGTTGTCATTCTCCCCAGGCCCATCCGCTCCGGGCTGGCATGGCTAAGTGACACGGCCTAACTCAACGGTTCTTAGCTCTGAGGCGAGAGGCGACCAGCCCGCCCCTTCGCCTCAGCACAATATCCCAACAAATTCCGCACTCTCTTCAAACACCCTGTGATTAGACCCCCAAACCATCATAAGATTTAACATTTTAAGTGCCCATTTTATTTACTAACCCCCTAATTAAGTTGGTGTGTGTGTGGTAGGGGGGAGGGAGGAGGAGGAGAAGGGGAGGAGAGAGAGAGAGAGAGAGAGAGAGAGGGAGAGGAGAGAGAGAGAGAGAGAAGAAGAGGAGCGAAGGGTCGAGGTAGGAGAGGGGGGGAGAGGGAAATTGGTGGATGAAATCAGGCACAAGTTTCAGAAATTCAATTTTGAGGCGGAGTCGTACACGTTTCCCCATTGGCTTGCGCAAAAACTGATTTGATGACGTCACTCGCGGGGCGGGGTTAGTACCCTTCGTGGGCGGAGTTTTGACTCCTCCCTCCTCCTCTTCCTCCCTCCCCCTCTTCCTCTCCAATCCTCCGCGTTTTACTCGACATCCATATACCATGTACTCTCCCCTCTCGCTCTCCTCTTCCTTCTGCGTCTTTCGCGGCGGATCCAGAGATAGGAAAAAATAGCATAAATGATGTAAAATAGGACATAACCGATAGGAACACGAGACAATTCCGCCTAAAAAAAAGGAGAGGCATATGGCAGCAGCGGCGGCGACGGTTGCCAGCTAGCGGCGGGAGCGAGTGGTCGCAGCCAGACCCAGCTGGCGGCGGCGGCGGCGGTCACTCCTCGGGAAATTCATAAAAATTGTAAATCTTTCCTGAATATGGCGCCATGAAGTTGTTTGCCATACCGTAAAGGACGCTGCGCCTCGGAGGGAACGTATACTTAAAGAATGAGATACAAGTCTAGTAGGGATATCCGCGCGGTATTAAGAGACGGCGTTGAAGATTATAATTATTACACATAAAGTCCAGACGGCCGGAGCAAAGCGCGGGCCGCGGGAAGTGTCCACATTTTACGGTAATGTCTTGAAGATGTCGTAGTTCTGGTGGGTAGTTTGACGGATTCTTGTGTTTCCTTCCGGGAGCCCTTAATTCAGCCATTTGCGCGGGTTCTCGAGGAGGGAAGCCACGCCGCCCACCGTCGGGTCGGAGCGAGGTGCAAGGGCGGGCGTATGTGTGTGTGCTTTACAAAACTCATAAGCTTAAACGTGTATAGCTATGTAGGATTCTTGCCTTCATCACGAATTTTGTACAAGTACTTCTTGGGGTGAGCCGCCTGTTCCTAATACAAGTAGAAAAATATGATTGGCCCGCCCCCTTGTGTGACGTCACTTGTAGCCGCGCGGCCATTGGCTCTCGCCGCGGAGGGGGAGGAGCGAAGCGCGCGCTGATTGGCTAGGATGCGTGGATGGTGGAGTTTGGTCAATCGATAACACATCCCGAGTCGGAGCCAAATTAAAGGTAAATAATAGACGGCTTTCACAGTGAACGGACGTGTATAGAGCGAGCTCTGTTGTGCCATTCATGTGATCCGGGTTACTCTAGCCACAATACAGTGAATAGTGTAGAGTGGTGACAACAAGTGGTGCTGTAGGCGCTAACTATCCCAGAAGCCGTGTGCTACTCTCAGATACTCGTGTTGGCGTAGAGCCACGTGTAAATGCAGTGCTAAACTTCCCTGTCTGCGACGAAGGACACCACCATTGCCGGCGTGAAGGCGTACAGTGCCCTGGCATCGGGCGCTGAGCAACCTACGGCGGTGGAGGGAACTCGGAGCGTGTGGGAGCGCAGGTGGGGGAGCAGACACGAGCCCATATCCTGCAAGGAGCCCCGGGAAGCCGCAACACTGGAGTACTACAGCAGCGCGGCCCTCAAGCCCTCCACCATGCTGACCCTCGACCCTCCCGACCTCAAGGGCGGGAGCTTACACTCCGCACACCTCCCTCCCCACTCCTCCCACTCCCATTCCGTGCCCCACACTGTGTCCCACGCCCACCACAACTCCCACTCCCACACATACTCCCTGTCCCACCATTCCTCGTTGACGTCGCTCAATTCGTCCCTCAGTTCGTCCCTGACGAGCCCCTCCCTGGCCTCCGTGGGCAGCATGAGCGCCCACTCGCCGCCCCAGACACACGTCCCGACCCCCACCAACAACAACAACAGCAGCACAAACAACAACAACAACGGCTCCTCCACCAACAGCTCTAGCAACAGCACTAGCAACAGCAAGAGCAGCGCGTCGTCCTCGAGCGCCGCCGCCGAGCGCGTCAAGCGGCCCATGAACGCCTTCATGGTGTGGTCCAGAGGCCAGAGACGCAAGATGGCGCAGGAGAACCCCAAGATGCACAACTCGGAGATCTCGAAGCGCCTCGGGGCCGAGTGGAAGCTGCTGTCAGAGACGGAGAAGCGGCCCTTCATCGACGAGGCCAAGAGACTTCGCGCCGTCCACATGAAGGAACACCCAGACTACAAGTACAGGTACAGCCCTAACCCTAGCCATGAGACCCCATCAGTGGCAAGCCCTTGCAGCCCACTTACAGGCCCGACAACTATCCCTCTCACCACCCAATGCGTTCGAGCCCTCAGTCCGCCTTCAGTCGAGTCGCTTGCCGCTCCGACATTTTGCTTAGAGCGATTTTTTTCGTCCTCAAAGTCATCTAAATCTTTCAAAAATTAAATCTGATTTCGGTCTTATTCAATACAACACACTATCGACCCATATTTTTTTCATATTTGTTTATACGTATTTTTTTCATTGTTATTTTTTTTTAAACTTTGGTAGTGTTGTTTTTAGAAGCCGAAATAAAGCATTAGATGGTGAGTCGGGGGTTGTTTTCTAGTAGTCTCTCACCCTAATGAATCTTTAACGATAGTCTATGTCATGACAAGGCAGGGTGCTAAAAGTACCCCCAAAAAGAGAGAAAAAAAAAATACATAAAGATAGTATATACAGAGCAAAAAAAAAATATAGCTAAAAAACATAGCAAGATATTTTTTTGGAGATGATACCAAGTGCTTTTTAAAAAAATAAATAAAAACCAATATAAAAAAAAAGAGAGATAAGGACCAAAATGAGTCTTTTTTGTCAAATGAGTTTAAAAAAGAGATAGTCAAGCTGGGTTGTTCATGTTACTTATTTCATGGTCACCTGGAGGCCTTTATTTTCTTGACTGCAGGAAGTGTGAGGCAATGCAGACCAAAGCTCCCACAGAAGGGGTTTATCACGGTTATCGTTGGGCTCATCGTTGCCAAGTTTGTGTGTGATGATCATGATGATTATTGATGAGTGGCTTGGCCTAGTTGGATGATTTTCGTCGCTTCGGTCCTGCGATATATTTCTTTTTTTTTTTTTTGGTCTTTTTCATTTGTTTATTATTTTTTCATATATATATTTTATTTTTTATTATTCATTTTGTCGAGTAGCGTGGGTGAGGAGGAAACCCGATTCATGTTTGTGATATATTTTTGAAGTTTGAGAAGTTTAAAAAGTAATAACAAAGAATTAAGTTTCTATTTGATAAGGGAAGACTCCTTGGATTCATCTTGTGCTTTGTCTTATTTCGCAAAGTGGATTCAGTGCTTCAGTGCTGATTCCTATCACTAATTTTTTAATCATGGAAATCTAGATGTTCATTCTTTAAAAGAGGATATGTTACGGATAAATAGATTAAGCGGAATTCAAGATAAATAATGATGAAAAAAAAATCGGAGGAACCCAACACCCACGCCGCGACAAACGACGTGTCTCGAGAATTTGCCTCAAACCCATCTTATTCACATCTCGAAGACGGCCAGATGTCTCGAGCTGTAAATAAGTCGGGTGTCGGCAAAGAGCTCCTTGAAACCGGGACACGCCTGGAACAAATCTGAACCGGCCTTCACGATACGAGATTGGTTATGAAGGGGGAAAAATCCCAACGCTTACTTTCATGTGTATGTCTCTTGCTTGCCTTCCTATTTTTTTCTCTGTCTCCTATTCTCTCTCTCTCTCTCTCTCTCTCTCTCTCTCTCTCTCTCTCTCTTCTCTCTCTCTCTCTCTCTCTCTCTCTCTCTCTCTCTCTCTCTCTCTCTCTCTTCCTATTCTCCGTTCTTCCTCTTGGGATTACTTATAACCAACCTGACTGCGTGAAACCCGGTAGGCTTGCCTGCTAAAGTGACGAAAATTAGTGCTATTTTGACGCTGAAATATAATCACCTTTTTGGATTTTCTTGCTTGTGTTCTTAAGGGCTGTTGGACTCATCTCACACTTCCTCAAGTGAGTGACGATTTGCAGTGATTTTTTTTTTATTTGTTTGCACTGTTGCTGTGCACATATAGTTTGTAAGGTGTTTATGTTGCCACACTTGTCTCATTGCATACATATATATATATAAACCCACCCGAGATAACCCATCGCAAAGCCAGTGACGAACTTTCAGGTAAATATACACATCCATACGTAAGAATATTCACTCGTTCGCTCTCCTTCCGAATGGGCGAGCGAGTGCCTATGGCTTCGTCTTCGGCTCAGTTATCTATCCCGGGTCTTACACACACCTCTTCTCTCTCCGTCCCTCTCTGCTCGGCGCACGGAGAGGTCCCCGGTGTGCTTCTCCATAGGATAGCGGGATTAAGCACAAGATTGCAGCGCCGGAAATATTAGGATGAGGTCGGGGTCAAGGGAGGTGCGGGGGATCCACTGGCAGAGCGCGCGCGTGTGTGTGCTATTCCTTGGGGATCTGGTGTACTCGAGTTAACAGGGACGTGATGTATGTATGTAATTATGTGTGTGGGGGGGCATGTGAGTGTGTGTGTGTGTGGGCATGTGAGTGTGTGTGTGCGTTTATGCGCGTGTGCGTGTGTGTGTTCGCAATCTATGTAAATGCATGTATGTATGCATTATACGCGTAGAAAAAAAAATGCATATTTGTATTGAACTCGTATCGTTCCTTGTCGTTCTAATGATGCTGATTATCATAATTAATTTTCTCAAGTAACCGAAGGAATTTTGATCATATTTATCTTGTGATATAATGATACTTTATGCGTGTAGCTCGAAAAGATATCCGTAGTAATCAGAATCAAATATGTTGCTTAGTTAATTCATGATTCATATTCATTAGGCTTCACGTTTATGTGTGTATCTATCTATATATATTTATATACATGTGTATATATATATGTATATATTGATAAATAAATACGAGTGTGTATACGCATATATACATATATCCATTTATATGTATATATGTGTGTGTAGGTGTATGTATGTATGTACGTATGCGATGTATGTATGTATATATGTGTACATGTATATATATATGTACGTATGTGTACATATATGTATGTACGTATGTGTACATGTATGAATGTACGTATGTGTACATGTATGAATGTACGTGTACATGTATGAATGTAATGTATGAATGTACGTATGTGTACATGTATGAATGTACGTATGTATGAATGTACGTATGTGTACATGTTGTATGTACGTAAACACGACTCGAAGATGAACTAGGCGCTCGCAGTCGCGGCCGAGCGGAGGCGGGCGGCGCGGGTTGAAGTCTCCCGCGGCGACGGTGGCGGCAGCGCGGAGGCTCGTTCCGGCGGCTCGTGGTGGCGGTAGCGGGGCCGAACGCCGCCACCGCCGCGCCGCCGCCGCCTCTTTCCCGCCCCGCCCGCGGCCCGACCGCCCGACCGCCCGCCACCCGACCGATCGCCCGGCTCTTCGCTCTCCCCGACCGACCGGCTGCCGGCTGTCCGCTTTTTCGGTAAAGTGTTCGGAGTATTATGTCATTATCGGTTTATAATTGTCGGTTTTCTGACCTGGGGAGCGGGGAGGAGGCGGTCGGGGAGGGAAGGGGTCAGGGGGACGGCCGGAATTCGCGCGCGCAAATTATCTGATTTCCTAAGTGCGTTTTTACGCGTCATTAGTTTATTATATTATATATTATATCATTATTATTATTATTATTATTATATTATTATTATTCATTATTATTATCATTATTATTACTATTACTATTATTATTTATTACGTCGGACTATTAAGTAAAAATATTCTCTAAAGTACTATATTTTTTCACAATTTATATCGCCTTTGATAATTCTATAAATTCCTCAATCATATATTCGTTAATAACATCAATTACGATAATTATCTGAAGACGAACAGCCGCATAACAAAGAAATACAACAAAAAACGCAAGAAAAATACACAATAACTCAAAAGATAATTCATTAATAATTATAATGAATCTGCGTACGAATTATTTTTAAAAATTATATATATTAATTCGTGGACTAATATTTCGATCAAATAATAACGAATAAAAATTATGCTTCATGTAAAGGAATGCTGTTCTTGTTTCTCTCCTTCTATCATCTATCTATTCATTTATCCGGCCTCTTTCTCTCCTCCTCTTCTTCTTCCTATGTCCCTCCTTTCCATTCCCCGTTACTCCCTCTTTCTCCTCTTTTTATCCTTATCCTCTCTTCTTCCCTCCCTTCTTCCTTCCATCCTCATCTCCCTCCTTTCTCTCCTTCCCTCCCTTCCTCCCTCTCCCCCTAACACCCTTATCTCCTCCCCTTTCCCTCCTCCCTTCTCCCTCCACCCTTCTTCCCTCCTCTCCCTTCGTCCCTCCTCTCCCTTCTCCCTTCTTCTCTCCCCTTCTTCCCTATCTAATTCCCTCCCTTAGGAAAACGTCGGAAAAGTCGGAATTAATTAAGATCGGAAAGATGTTCCGCTGTTTTCCGTCGGATCGGAAACGACGAGAGATGCTCGGATGCTGATGGCCCGCGCGAGATGAAGAGAGATGGAGATGGGAGGCTGCGAGAATCTCTCTCTCTCTCTCTCTCTCTCTCTGTCTCTGTCTGTTTCTATGTCTGTCTCTCTCTGTCTACCTGTCTGTCTGTCTGTCTTCTCTCTCTCTCTCTCTCTCTCTCTCTCTCTCTCTCTCTCTCTCTCTCTCTCTCTCTCTCTCTCTCTCTCTCTCTCTCTCTCTCTCTCTCTCTCTCTCTCTCTCTCTCTCTCTCTCTCTTTCTCCCTTTCTCGCTTTGCTTGCTGTGTTTGTTTTGCTTATATTCTTTGGCATGGAAGCAAGGGCCGATAAAGACAGGAAATATAGAGAAAGTGATGATAAAAATTGTCGTGATAATGATAACTGTAGCAGTGGGGATAATAATAATGACAATCACAGTAATATTAATAATGATAATCATAATAGCAATAAAGATAATAATCTTGATAATGATAACAAAAGTAATAATCTATTGTTATTATTACATTTGATTTCTCATTATTATTATTATTATCATTATCGTTATCGCTATCATTATTTCTTTATTATTGCTATTATTATCACCATGATTATAATGATTATTGTTAATGTCATTATTGTCGTTGTTATTTTGGATATTTATTAATCTTATCATTAACATAGCAATAATGATAATGATGATAATAACGCTGATATAAATAATCATATTAATGATT